CTTTGTTGAACTTTTGCACATTTTTTGAAGAGTTTATTACCATTTTGGTTCTGCAGCCCAGCGCTTTCTTTCTCGCCTATGTGAGAATGATCGAGACCACCCATTGTCTCAGGCGGCATCTTTTAGGGTCACGACGGGGTGGTGGCAGGCAGAGCGGCATGGCAGCTCTTCTGCACAATGTTTTTGCCACCCCATTCCGGCCAGAGCGTCCCAGTTTGCTAAGAGCTGGGTGGGGAGATGTGCAAGGGCCATACACATCTCCCTGCCTAGCTCTAAGCAACCTGCAACATTCTGGCCAGCATCCCACCCAGTTGCCAGGAGCTGGGTGGGATGCTGGGCAGAGCGATACCTATGTGCCCCCCTCCTTTGGCCAGAGCATCTATCTCGCACAAACTCCCCCCCAATGCCCTCACCCCCCGGGTACCACTGGTCATGTCAATGAGGATACATGTAGTTTACCTACTTGTCAATCACAGGGGGAAGATAATAGATGAGCCTACATGGGCAGCACAGTGGCTTAGTGGATAGCAATTCATATCTACATTGTTTGTATGTAGGTAAGACTGATGTAGAGACCACCCACTGCCTCCTGGAACAGCCACATCACACGAGCCAGTTTAAGAGGTATATGCGTGCTGCAAGATCCTGTGCCTGCGCATGTTTGGGTTATTCTTGCATATGCCAAGGTCTCTACAAGATTCCAGATGCCAGGAACCAGCAGCGTGTGTGTGTGTCCAGATCTCTGCCAGGTCCCAAAACCATGACGGAGACCTGCGGCATATCTGTTCCTGCATGGAATCTTTAAAGTTGTCGGTACAGAAGAGGAGCATCGGGACATAAGTATTGCGGGGGTGAAGTTCCTCTGTAAACATGCAGGCAAGGGCATGGACACAGGAAGGGCACACGCCTATAGTGTACACAATAAGAGAAAAGACTCTGGACCGCAGTGTCATGTGACTATGGATTTAGGTGAGTCAAAGGGGCATATCGGCCATTACATTTTTTTTTTTATGGTGACACTTAGTGGGAGGGTTGTTCCCTTTCCAGGAAAATGGTTAGTCATCATGTTTCTGAACAGCTACAACTCTCTCAGCTTAGTTTCCCTGAACTTCCAGTCCAAGATCACAAGGGGCAGAGCAGTCTCCAGCAGCCTCCAACTAGCATAGAGGAGGAAGCTGAGCTGGGGTCTTGCCTTGCTGTGTTTGTGGAGACACACACATCTTACTAGCACCCACAAGGGTAGCTCTATAGGACCCTGCAAGGGAAAGGACCCACCATAAAACAGGGTATCGGGCCAGCTGACTCTGCAGGAATGTCAAGGAACAAGCATCCAGTGTAAGTGATTTCATCAGCATTTTAAATGGTGTCAAAACCTTCTGATTTTAATATCACTTAAAGCTGCATCACCCTGCCCCAAGCTGCTTTTGCATTCCGCTTGGCTTGTATGGGGAGAGAAGCAGGCCCTTCCTGTCAAATGGCTGAAAATGAACATCCTTATCTTTGTGAATTTATCCTAATTTATGTTTTCAGCGTCTCGTTTTTATAGCCCGATTCTGAATTACACAGAGATCACTCCACGGAGCCCTTTACATAATTAACATGAATTAAAGATGATTACATTTTGCATAATGTCAGGATGATGTCATTTGTTACATAAGCTGGGACGTTGCTGGAAGCTTGGTGCTGTAATCCACAAGGAACAATAAAACCGTGAAGACCGATTTTTGCATTAGTAACTAGAGCGGTGACGGCCTTCAGTGTAGCTAGTGTACAGGAAAAGGGCACGGATCCTTGGGCCACATTCACCATATGCGATTTGGGATTCCTGCAGCAGATTCAGCTGGTGATTAACCTTGAACAGGTGACAGCAGCCGCATCTAAATGGGATTTCTCTCAGAGCCAGCTGAGCCCGCCCCCTCCCCTGTCTGTCCCTCCAATGTGCTCTTGAGGATCGGAGAGGGGAATCCCTGTGGGGACTGTCGATCACTGCTCTCTCCAGAGAGAAGACTGTGAGATGAGTGATCAGCAGTCACATGATTGCTCAGCTCTCGGTATAGAGCCGGCAAGTGACAGTTGCAGTGTCTCATCACCTCTTAGTATCGGGAAGAGTACACTTTACTCTGCCAGTACGTGTCCTTTAAATCTAGCCAGAACAACCCACATAGTTGCTGTTCATCCGACATCTGAATTTCCTGGTCCATGTAAAATCCAGGTCTGGACAGCATTGGTCATGTTTCTTTATGATGGGTCATTCTTGCTTTTAGCTTGCCCAGCTACTTTAACCCCTTCATGACTGAGGCCCTTTTTTCAATTTTTGCACCCATGTTATATTCCACATTTTAGGCCTGAAAATGACATAAAACCCCCCAACATTATATATTTTCTGAATGCCAAGACCCTATAGAATAAAATGGTGGTAGTTGAAAATTTTTATGTTGCGCAATATTAGCGCAACTCCTTATTAAACCCCAAAATTTAGTGACAAATTTAATTAAATGCCCCAAAACACAACAAATTACCCATTTTTTAAATGAAATATAAAAGATGAGGTTACAACGAGTAAAACGATACCCAACATGCCCAGTTTACAGATTGCGTGCGACCGTGAAACGGCGAAAAACTGCAGTACCCCAAAAAGTCAATAAAAGACACTTTAAAAGCCCCCACAGGTCATCAATTTAGAAATACCCCAAAATACTGGGCTCTACAAGTTTAAACAGAGTCCCGGCGGCAAAAGTCGCCGGGAGTCTGTTTAAACAGCCCCGATGCTGGCGACGTACACTGTAAGTCGTCAGTCACGAAGGGGTTAAAAACACATTTGTTTTTTTAAAGGAGACCTATGGGGTTAAGGCCTTTCCCCATAGTTCTCCATAGGGTAATGGGAGGACACAAACTAGCGTCCTCCCGTCACCCTAGGCTCAGTATACTGAGATGCCGCAGCTGAAGCGGATCCCGACAATTGTGCCGGGATCCGCCCAGCTGCGTGACTGACAGCTGGCTCTGCCTCTCTAAAGGCAGAGGCAGCTGTACCCGCCCCCTCCCCCGTCCGTTACGCCAGTCAACGCTGGCGGATCGGAGTGGGGAATCCAGCCCCTCCCCCTGTCACGGCAGAGAGCTGTGACAGGATCGAGAGGTGAGCGAATGCCGGTATGTGTTCGCTCACCTCCCGATCTACTGAGCCGACCTGTGACAGTCTTTGTCACAGGTCGGCTAGAACTATGAGGTGAGTGAAAAGCACTCACCTCATAGTTCTCCTTTTTAATGGTACATTGCAAATCTCATCAGTGATTCACTATATAGACCAGTGATGGCAAACCTTGGCACTCCAGCTGTTTTGGAACTACAAGTCTCATGAGGCATTGCAAGGCTCTCACAGCCACAGACATAACTCCCAGAGGCAGATGCATCTTGGGATTTGTAGTTTTGGCACAGCTGGAGCGCCAAGGTTCGCCACCACTGATATAGACCCTCCAAGCTGAATCCCACATGCTATAAATGGATTTGCTTTCAAACTCACTTCTACATCCGAATTCATCTTCTCAAGTCGCCACCACCGAGCAACTTTATAACTGTGCCTGAAACAACGGATGTCTGGTGTCTGTGGGTGCAAGAAAATGTTATCTGTATTTCTAATAAGCTGAATCTTTATATGCAACGGGCAGACGGGATGCTCTTCCCAGCGGGTCGCCGTATATATAAAAAAAGTTTTGTTTTTTTACTGCTCACGCACATCTCACTGGGACACTTTAAGCATGTTAAACAGCTGCAGCGGTTGCTGCATACAAGCGTTTGGGCAGCTATACGGCCGTCTGATCGCTTGTATGGTGCATGGGGGTGTGTGTGTGCGCCCACTCCTCTGACTCCCCTGCTGCTGGCTATCCTGAGCTTCGATGTCCTCCATGTGAGGCCAGGACCAGCATGGCCGGTCTCTGTACTGAGATCAGAGGGATATACTGGACTGGTTGAACTCCAGTATAAGTAAATACAAGAGTCATGTGCATTCCTTCTTAAATCTTGGGGTGCTTTGTGTATATCTTCCAGATGTGTGCAGTAATTCTGTGTGACACTTTACCTCTGTGCAGGAGCTTCCTGTAATAAAGACCGGTCACTGCTGCTCTCTCTTTGTGCACGGTAACTGGTCTAGTCTCCGCCCCCTCCTGCAGGCAGCCTGTAGTGGGTGGGGTCTGCTGGGTCCCTCCCACAGCTCTGCTCTACTCCTATATATTTATTTCATCGTTATATTTGGCTCTTAGCCTGGAGTCCAGCTTTAAAAGAATAGTCCACCTTTGTGACCATGTTTAATGTTGCACCCATATTTAGGATGTAGAAAAATGCAATAACATACAATGACCCGCCAGTTCAAGTATTGCCAATAAATGTCACCATAGCAGTTATTGATGGATTTGGCTTCAGTTCTCTGTAGGTTGTTGGTGACAAAGGTCCAAGGTACTGTAGTACAAACTGCATCTAACGCAGGTAAAGTTCGAGTTCTGTCTCTGCTGTAGCCGTTCCCTGCAGTCAGGACAAAGATTTCTTGCTTCAGTAGTGAAGGTCTATACCAGGGATAGGCAAATGTCAACCCTCCAGCTGTGTTGAAACTACACATCTTATCTTGCACCTGCCTCTGGGTGTCAGTCTCGCAATGCCTCATGGGAATTGTAGTTCTGCAACAGCTGGGGGGGGGGGGGGACAGGTTTT